TTGCTTTCAGTATTTCCTGGATGTTTACTGGAACTTTAATAAAAATAAACAGTGATTTGTAACAGATAAAAATAGTAGAACCCTTATAATGGCTCTAGATTTAACAAAGCAACCATATTGTATAGTAAATTTTAAGAAGATTTTCAAAATCTCTAATCTTATATAAATTTAATTGGTTTGAACAATCAACTTCGTTATACTGTAAAAATACGGTGAAAATACTAGCTCAGCCTATTGCTTCAACGAGAAATTCCTTAGCAGGTAATTCTAAATTTAATAGGTTCATTTAGTCACCTATTAACAGTATTTAGGAATAATTATTTATACACGTATGTACCGACATAAATTTTGATCTTCAGTCTTCGCAACATAAATTGTCGGTATTATTTTAACAAAATTTTTCTAAAAAAGAGTTACTTTAATAACCTAAGTAACTAGCACTTTAGTCACACTAACTATCTTATTATACTAAAGTAAAACGAGAAAAGCTATAAGAGAATAATTAGTATCTTTTATTACCTTAAATTTTTTTAATGTGTCCATAACAGGGTCCATAAGTTTCATTGAAAAATAACTTTAAATTTCTAGGTCACTTTATCATTAGAGTCTTTTACTGTGAAAACCAATGAACAAGCTTCCTTACTCTCCTGCTAACAGGATATAATTTTTGTTCTCTTGGTCTTGGGGTAGTAGACATACTAAGTCTGAGAAACTATTTAGGGTAAAGTTTAATGAAAACTTCATTTGCTGTTAACAGCAGTTAGTAACTGACCAAATAGTACAGAGCTTATGCTTCGCCATAAAGCTCTTCCTTTCATTATAAATGTAATATCGTTTTTTAATCTTTTTCGGCATGATTGCTCACGTGCTATCTCCGACCAGCTCCATTTTGCCGTATTAGTGAGAAACACTCATATTACAGGTGGACCTTCAGAACCTTTCTTACAGAATCCTGAACTGGTCATATTTTTCATAATTTTTAATTTAAAACTTGAAATTTTAAAATTCTTTTGAAGACCTTTTTTCTCTACTCAACTTTACTCTTTGACAACTTTTTTTCTATTCTTTTTAACTTGTTTAATAATGCTTATTTTCAGACAACCTACTCTAGTTTTTTTGCTTCGCCTTCTTTAATTGAAAAAAATATATCGCGACTAATAAAACAAAAATATAAGGGGATGTAAACCTGGAACGCTAAAATAAAAAATACCGTCTCTTGGCTTACATAATCATTTACTATAGACAAAAATCTAGCAAAAAGGATCCTATCTCATTTTGGACGCTGTAACTTGTAAAGGTGAAAAATTTTTGTTTGCAGGCAAACTAAAGCTGGCTTTTTCCTATAAGTTGTCTTCCCACGGAAGAATATATAAAGATTTATATTACTATTTAAAATAATAATTTTAAAATAAGTTTGATATCATAGATTAAAACTACAATTTAATTTTTTTTGAAACATAATTTAAGCTGGTTTATGGAGAGGGTCAAAATTTTAGGGAGGTTGAATTTTGTCCATTTTTGGTTAAGTAATAATTAAAACCTCACTTTTATATTAGGCCTTTTATCTTTTCAAATCAGCTTATAACTCTCGAAAAAAAGATTTTTATTAGTTTTGTATGCAGAAGGTAATATTAACGCTACCCATTTAGGTTTCTCAAATAATCTAATAAATTAAAACAAGATCTATTTACTTATAAAGAACCAAAAATTGAAGATAAATTTAAAGTATATGTAGGTTTCTACACCCAAAATAAAGTTAATTTTATTATTAACAATGAAAAGTTACGTTAGAGGAAAATAGGAACATGTTAAGGGATACAAGTTATATAGGGTGGTCATCCGCATCTGAGAAAGTGAAACATAAAAATTATTTTGAGACCTTTGAAAAACACTGTAATATTGAATAAATTGTTCTACCCACGGTCTGTGCTAAAGTTTGGCTCACAGATACCTATCATTTATGATTTCTCATTTCTTAATAACTCTTTCTATTTTGATTATATATGAAAATTTAAATGAGGCCGTCAGAGCATGGTATATAGGTTTCTTTTAACAAAATATAACATAATTCAATTAAAAGTTGCTTGCTCATTAATGTATCATAGATTTTTTAACACGAATTTCTGTTCCTTAAAGTTGCCTGTTTTTTTAACCACTCCTAGAATTTCTGTGGAGCTAACATTTAACAATTGTAAAAGTTGGTCAAAAATAAATAAAGTTTTTGAGTAAATTAGTTAATTAACCAATATTCAGTCATTATCTTTTGTGTATTACCGCAAATGTAGTTGTTGCCAAAATGATCTTTGGAGTAGATTTTTGTATTAAATTTTATATCGAATGAGCTCTAAGATCTAAACCACTTTATAATCCCCATTATCTATTAGAATAGTGCTGTTTATTTTAGTATGTAAATAAAGCTATTTTATTATCATTACAACCTTCAAACTCAGCACACCAATCCATTACTGTGAGATGAACTGAGTTACGTAACATGAGATAGCGCTCACTATTGCCGACCGCGCAACGTCAGGGCTGAATTAAAAGAATATGTACATATGAAATTGCTTTAACTCAAGGTTAAACCTCATTCGTAGGCTATCATCCAGACGTGAGCTCGTAAATTCGGTGTTTTCTTTTAATCTTATTGAGTGTCATGTATTACCATTTATAATAATATTAATAAAACCTTTAAAACAGAAAATTCCTCCCATCCTTCTGAGAACAAAAAACGGAAAGGTACCTCCTAATTAATACTAAAAGTTAACCATCTTTCTAGATTATGTGCTAAATATGTTGTGCAAGGTTTTAGGATTTTATCTTCTAGTGAGAGCGATTACAGAAAACTTACCTTCTAATTAGCAATGGGTTTACATTAATTAGACACATAATTCCTTTTCTTCGTTTAAGTTTAAAAAATTTTGATTTGTGGAGTTTTATATAGAGATGTTTACCTTCTATATTAAAGTTATACTATAAAATTAAGAATTTTACCTGCAAAAGTCATAAGAATGCGGATTTATATAAAAATCGTAGGGGTCCTACATTTGGTATTAGCTAAATTAATTCAAGCTGTGGTTCGCAATTTCAATTTCAAAAACATATTTATCTCTGTCTCTGTTGAGTGTAGAATTGAGGCATACCTTAGATGTTAAAAATTTGGGTATACCGAAGAATAATGATCTCAAAACCTCAAATGAGTGAGGCGCGAGCAAGATCATAAATCCAAAACTTGCACTGAAGGTGCTGAAGAAAATTCTACCTACTCTAACCGCCAGGGAGATTACCCAGCAAGCTGCAGAGGGTATGTACACTACCCTATAAATATCCCACTTAGGAGAGGGCTATTTAGTAATTAAAATCTCCCACCTTAAAAGATGCCGCCATTCAACTTAAAATAACCTAAGCTTAAGCAACAGCCTCCATCAAAAAAGATAATATTGCACAAGTTATTAACCGAGATGACAATAAAATATCGTGCCTGCATTATCCGAGGCTTTTAGAGGACATCTATTCAATAAGGGAATTATTGTTAATGACTTTCTTCCCGCCCCTAGAATATAAATTAGAATTTTTTCATGAAACGCAGAGGAAATGAGGGAGTAAAAAAAAACAAGATATACAAAAACTTAGCTACGTTTAAAACCAGACTTCGTCTTAGAAGGTACATAACTACTTTACATAAGAGAAAAGACCACTATAACACAGGAGGGTATGATGCCCATTTCTGCCCCGAAAATCTTATAGGAATTAACATTCAGACTCAATCTACCGGTCTAATAAACAAAATAGCTACCTATAAATTTTTAAATTAGGAATTACGCACTGAAGATTGAAACTGAGATCTTTTATAATGATACCTTAACCATTTTAGGCGGGGAACCTTAACTCTAAACGTACAACCTTGAAATTTAAAAAGTATAATTCCAATGAAAAAATTGTTGAACAACGGACTGGACAAAATGACTGTGTTATTTTAACTCCATCCGATCCTACACATTATAAAACCGAGACATTTTAGAAATTCTGGACATGGTAGTACTACATAATATTTCAATGTCAACTTACATTTTAACTCTTTCAGAGCTTTCATAAAATCGCGATCCCGCACTGATTGAAATAATTGTTAAAGAACTTCTCGCACCTGTATGGAGCTCAAAACTATAGACTACCAGACTTTCTGAGAAACCCTTACTGATTAAATTTATCTGCTTGATTAAAGGGTGAGCTTTTCAGAGATCGATGGCACCGTCTTCGCCTATTCATTTAACAAAGTTTTGGCTTATAAATTTAAGGGTGTTTTTAGTCTCTCTACCCATATACAAAGAAAAATGATTAAAAAAGGAATATGAATCTAGTTATTATTTCGGTAATAAAAGCGCTGTAAAAGAATTAAAAGGGGTTTAACGTTATATTTCGACAAAATGGGGGTATTTAAGAAACAGACAAATAGAACGAACTTGTGATATAATGACACTTGGTATATCCGTCACGTGGTACGAGCACGTGTTTTCATAAGTTAACTTCAACATTTTATCAAATTAAACAGTTAAAATTTTAGTTAACTTCTTTTTTTCAAAGCTGAAAAAGCCTCTTTATTTTATCGATCCAAGGAACCTTTTTCTTTATAAAGCAAATTACACAGTGTAGCTCAACTTATTACCCTGTTCGGCCTTTTTTTACACAATAAAAGTTATTTCGTAGTAAGTGCCACGTGATATGAACTACATAATAACAGTTACTTTCATGATACATAAAGCGCATGCTTCTTTTTATGCTTCCGGCCTGTGTAGATACTTAATGTTTATATCAAAATTTATAAAGTGTTGAAAATAACCTTACGGAGACCATCAATATAGGCTTGCGTAAGCGCAACGTTAGGAGATGAGAATAGAGAAACTTGAAGTGCGGATGCCACGAGGAGCTGCCACGTTGTCTATACCTCTCTTAGTGCAGTTGGCACAAATGCTGACAGCTTCATTTAGTACATGGAACCCGATTATTATCAGGTGTTAGGGGTCTCCCCTAACGCTACCTATAGAGAGATTAAGGAAAAGTTTAAAGAGCTGGCTTTAGCGGTAGTTTATTATAAAATATTTTAAATATATTTGTAGTCATAGTTTTCAATTAAGGTTCATCCAGATAAAGTCAAAGATAACGACAGCGAAAATAACATAAACTTTATACACGTTCAGGTCCCTATTTTTTTTTTAAGCTATTGATTTATTAATAAAGGATAAAGAAAAGGAAGCATTTTCAATTTTAAGAAACGAAGAATGCCGTACATTTTATGATGCTCAATTACAAGGTTAAGTTTTATTTTACTATAGTTAAGTATGTACTTTATTTCTTTATAGATCGACTTTTAAGTAGAGACTATGTTACCAACGATAAATTGACCTTGGATAACATGAAATATATAGATGGTATATTTGTTGAGTATATTACTAAAATAATTGGTAAAAGATTCCTTAGATGAAAATATTTACCAGTACCCTTGTCGTTGTGGTGGAATATATGAAATAGAAAGCCAAGAGGTAGAAGAGGGATGGACCTTGGTCTTCTGTACACACTGTTCACTATCCATTGAAGTGCTTTTTAGAAATTAAAGCTTTTAAGAAAATCTTAGTAATTTCTCTACCCCGCACTTTTTTGAAATTATTTATAATTTTTTACTTTAGGATATGTTAATACAGGAATATAAAAAATTTCAATACTTGAGCTATTTAATAAACATACCTGTGCGTGCTTTGATTTTTTGATAATTATTCATCCATGTTAAGTTAACTTTATAAACTATAGCTCTTTTTCACAGTTTTCTAGTGAGCCCTCCTCCTTGCATTTTAAACAATAAACTCACTTCAGTTCGTTAGCAATACTTAAATTTCTTAAACAAGTATAAACATTATTTTTTGCTATTCTGATCCTCAACCGTGGTAGTAACATGTTCTATTATACCTGGACAGCTCAACTACTTACAACTTCGTCGCATTAAAAGTCTTGGCCTACAGCGCTTTCTTAGCTTGTCAGTTACGAATTAATAATACGACTTATGTACGAAGCTTATTCAGCCTGAAAAGCCATATTGAGTGAAAAAAGCATTTAATTTTTTTAGTTCAAGCTGTTTTATCACTGCTTGAGTGACACTCATTTTTAGGCGTTTAAGTTAATATACACTTTTCTTCGCAGTTTAAGCAAAAAATATCATTAAATATAATACAAAAAGAGACCTAATATCATATTGACAATACAGTTAAGTCACAGCTTACATAAATAAATAGAGTAAAACTATAAATATCTATAGTAAAATCTACTATATATATGGCATAATAGCATAAAATGTTATTAAATCCTGTTGTAAAAAGGCGAGTTAAAAAAAAGTCTAAAAAGTTTAAGTAAACTTAACCCTAATATTCGTAATATTTTAAACTATGTACCTTAAAGTGATATGTTGTGAAATAATACTTATCTTTACTATGAGGTTTTTGCGGTTAATTTCGCTATGCATATATATACTTTGATATGAAATAGGGGCTACTTAAAAATTTAGTAAACCGTACACTTAGATTATATAACCTGTAATATAATGAAATCAATTTGATTTTTGTAAGTTGCAATAAAAATATGTAAATTACATGGATAAAAATATTTTATTGCATAACTACTTTAAATAAACTGTATATGGTCTTAAGTAATTTATTTTAAAAAAAATTCTTATATCTGATAATTCTTACAGCGATCTGCAAAAGAAGTTATAAATAGCATTATTCTCAATAAATAGTAATATTTTAAATATGATAAATTGTATTTAGTTATCAAAATTAATGTATGTGCATTACAGATATATATATATAAATCTACATGCAAGATAACACGTACACACAACAGTAAGGAACATAAGGCTTATTTAATTAAAGTTTTGTTAATATTCAATATTCGCCAATAATATAAACATAAAGTTTTTTTAGAGATGATATATATTTAATTAACTGCCTACTATAAAATATAAACAACATATTAAAAGAATATACATGGTAGAGGAAGCTATTAGTAAAAGAACCACAGCATATGATAGAAGACTTCAACTTGACGTTATAGTAAACATGAACTGTTTTAATTTCCGCTGTTAGTGGGCATATACCTTCTAGCGTGACTAAAGACCACAGGGAGCCTGCATTTTAACCTAACCATTAGCATACTAGAAAAAGCCACCTCAATAAAGAGAGAGGGCCCGGAGGTCTTTAAAATGTGGTGGTAAAGTTGGGCTCACCTTGGCAAGTTCCACATTAGCTAAAAGTTAAGTTTTGTACAATAAAGGCTTTTAATTATAGTAATAATTCTTCAAAGCTATGATTGAAACTTGTCACCTTAACTTTATTATAGATACAAAGACCATTTATTAGAAACGGTGGTTTCTCATTCTTTTATAACGTATACCTACGACGGAGTTTGACTATATGTAAAGTTGTAACGCTCTAGGAAGCTCACTTAAAATGGATGAACTCGATCCTATCCATCTTTCTCAGCGTTTTCGTAAACTTCTAATTGAAACTAATTTTGATCAAGTAGCTGATAGCACTTATTATGAGTGGGCATGTTCAGATCCAATTGGTATCGTAATAAGCGACTTGGTTTCTTGTTGTTTAATTTTCATATATAAGGAAAGCCGATTATAGCTTTTCTATGTGACAATATTTCTGAAGCTAATATTATAACACAAGAGCAGCTTGAATTGTTAGTGTTAACATAATTGCTTTACATAAATACTAAAAACTCTGTGTTAGTAGATTTTCCTCTTTTAAAAATGGTGACTTGGAGGATCCGTCATCTTTTTCGATAGATAAAAAGTATTCCACTTTTTAATTTTTTTTTTTTTTCTATTATATATCAATATATATATATCTTATCGTTTAACAGCAATTTTATTGAGGATGAGTTATCAACTTCTTTTGATTGCACTATCTGTTTACTTGAAAGAAATATAAAGACTTTGGAGTTATTATAATTGTAACTTAATATTGATCGAAACTTTTAGTGAATATTCTTTGTTTTATTTAATTAGGAAGAGATATAAAGATTTATTTGAAGTTACTGAAAAATATAAAAGACTTCACAGTGAATTGGAAGTAGAGGTCCATGCAAAGTTTTTAGAGGCGACCGCTGCTAATAATAAGGTGAGGCCTGCCTTTGTCTATAAATATTTCAGAATAATTAAGAAACTACTAAAGTTTGACGAGACTATGCACAACCTACTTAAAACTGTTGAGCGTTTTTCTGAACTTCACGTTACTCGTACGTACACAAGTATAGCTCGCAACTTTTTCTTTTTGGAGTCAAGTCATCCACTTTTTCAGATGAATATACTGAGGATCTCGATTTATACTTGTTATCAGAAAAAGACAATTTGGCAGTGCTCGAAGAATACAAAAACGATATGTTTCTTGTAACTCGAAATGGCCCAGTAAAAATACGCTCAGTTAGCATTTTTTTTTACTACTTTTAGACAAACGAGATTTCAGAGAAGACCTCTCTTGATTCTCTCTTTCTGCCCAGCGAAAAAAGTTGTCAGTGTTCGAATATAAGTTTAGTTTCAATTATTTTTCATTTTGGGAGTTTTACTGATTTACTTCAGGTTCTACTTCTCAGCGGTTTTATGATCTTCAAGCCAAACAATTGGATCTTTTATGTTTTAGGTAGTGCTTGGACATTTTAGTCGTAGATAAAAGACGAATATAATCTTTCAAACACAACAGACACGCAGCTGCTGAAAAAATTTTACTGCAAAAACAAGAACAGCTTGTAATTTTATCAGTGTTAAAGGAGGAATTATCAAGATTTTCTTGTTCCACGAAGGATTTAGATCCTTTATTTAAGTTCAAACTTTACTATGATACCAAACATATTTACACTTTGATTAATAGCTATATATAACCATAGAAATTTTACTATTGAAGGTTTTCCTGAATCCAAGAAGCACTTAAAAATTCTGTACAACCAGCAGAAAGAGCTATTTCCTTTGTTAAGCCTTCCGTACGTCGTCGCTGATCAGCAGTTGAAGCTCGACTATCAAATAAAAGTTAAGGCGGCCGTAGAAGTTTTGCTATCCGCTTTGAAAGTTGCATATTTAACGAGTGTGCTTCTTGTATTACATGCGACGTCTCCCGTCTGTTCCTCAGAGGCGACTCGCTCGAGAACAGCTGTTACGCCTTTTCCTCCACTCTGAATTTCATTCCGTGCAGACTATCGAGCGGTATCTTCGCGGGCTCGTCCAAAGTTTAACGGCGTGGCACGAAGCCCTTGTCAAACGCATGGTGCAGTTACCAGCACTCCTTCCTCGTGCTATTGATCATTAACTTTGGTAAAGGATTCCATAAATTCTTTTCACTTCGCGAGGAATTCTTCGTTTTTCGACTCCGAAGTGCTGGAAAGTGATCTGGGTCAACTGGTGGAGACTGTAGCGGTCGACTTGGATATGACGGAGAATGTTCGTTCGTCTATCAAAGATCTCGAAACACGCCACGCTCTCTCTTCTTCAGTGCTGTAAACATGGCTTCTAGTTAGTTTAATAATTATTAATTGCTTTGCAGTTGTCGACTTCTTAGGCCAGTGAAGGAGGCAGTGAGTTTATATAAAACAGAAACAAACAGTTTTAGTATTGTTCCACACACGCTCCATGTTAATCTCCGTCGCGCGCAGGAACTTTTGGCATCTCTGGAGCGTCATATTTGTGCCCTTCAGCAAAGTACGACACGTTTTCAGGTCCATAAAAACTCTTTTCTTTTACTTTGAAGATTTATATTTTTTTTCACCCAGAAGAACCAGGAACTAAACCAGTTGAAGGCCTTTTACTTGCATCCGGACTTCAATGTGTCTTCTCCCATCCCCCGTTTTTAATATGCTGCGAAAGTTATACAAATAAATCACTGCCTTTTTTTTGTGTTATTTTCGTTATTGCGGTGTAATATTGATCAGTTCTATTTGTTTCGGGTATAACAAGCTTTATAACATGATGCGAAAAGTTCCATTTTTGGGCAGTGTGGTCAAGTAAAATTACTAAAACTTTCTTTAATAATTAATTTCATCTTGGTTATAGTACGAATAATTTATTGAAAAATGTCTCTATAATATAAAAAAAGGAACGGTTTTGTTTAGGAAAACTCAAACGAAAGCTAAAGATCGAGGTTTCTACTTCTTTGAAAGTTAGAAAACTTAATTACTTAGGACTAAGTGATCAGGCTGTTTCGTATTTATAAAATAAGCTTTGTGCGAAAGATTTGTATTAGGAATGTTTTTTTATTTTTTTTCAATGCTTTGGAAACAGTATTACTAGCACAAGCCAGTAGTCTTTCCCTTTTGGTAGACTTTAGCGGTTGGCCTGACATAAAAAGTAAATCATGCAATGAATATGCCACCTTTTACCTTTTCAGTAATTACTTAAATTAATATAATCCTATTCTCCTAGACAAATATTGTTCCATTTTATAGGTTATTTACTAAAATTAAATTTTTCTAAACTTACAAAAGCTCTATTTACAATTAAAATTTTATTAAATTTGACGTTTAATAAAAAAAATATTTCACTTTAAGAGGTATACACGTCCATGTTACTTATAAACCGTTTGTGTGCCCTTCATTTTCAATTTTTTGGTTTAATTCTCTCATTTAAATCTTTTCAAGAGACTACCAGTCTTAAAAATGTTACCTTTCTTAGAAAAAGTACAGCAGGCAGTAATTAGTTTAACGCTCCTAATCTGTTATGAAAAATATAGCGCTTACAATAAAACTATAATAAGCTTGCTTCTTATAAACATACACTGCAATTTATAAAATAACAATTTTGGTCGTAGAAAACTCAAAATAACCGTGTTTTCATCATATAAAGTGTACAAAACCCTCTTGTGATCACCTCTTAAGCCTTTAGTGCACCTTAAAACTATAAACCTTAAATTTTAAGTTCCTAGGAAAAAAAATGAGTTGCAAAAAGGGTTTGACCTTATAAATACATTTGAAGTGGCTTATCACTTAAAAAATTTACTAGCGGGGTATTCAAGTTAGTAAAGTTACAGTTGAAAAAAGGGTTTGCCCTTATAAATACATTTGAAAAGGGCCCCTTACTTAAAAACTTACTAGCGGGTATAATGAATATAGTAAGGTTGTAGTAAAAAAATACGAAAATAGGTATGAAATATATATATTTATAGAATATATGCGACAATTAATAGAATAAAGCTTGAGGGCTTAGTTTCATTTATTATTTATAAATGGCAGTTTCTGATGCTCGGTTGAGTCAAAAAACTTTGAATACTCAAGCTCTTAACCAGGAGTTTATTTTTTTTTTAGCACTGACGTACCCGACCGGTCTTCTTTAGAGCTTGAACCGCTTAATCTGAATTCCCTTCCTCTGCAGGGGTGGGGTTGGAGTACGTGTGCCTACCAGTGTACGCTCTTTAAAGATTTATAATGACTGCCCCGAAGTACTAAAAGAGCGGAAAATATCGCTCCTCAACGGAAGGAGGAGCCCTCAATTAGGAGTAACCGCAGATATATTACAAGATAGCTTTCGAACGATAAGGTGTCATTTTTTTTCTTGACAGTAACGAACAAAAAAAACTAGCGATTACCACGTCACGTGGACCGTCCCATGACTTGTAATTGAGTTCGCTTACGAGCAGGAGGTTAGTGTGTGTGGCTAGCCTTTCGTAAAGGGCGTTGGCAATGTGTTAAAAACGTCTCCAAAGGATTCAGCTCAAAATCCCGGTGAAAAACATGATTTTGCACACGCTATTGAAGTAAAGCCAAGGTGCAAGCAACAGACGTTTATGCCATTATCGGCTGGATGTAAAACATGAACAATTTAAGTTTGACTCGCAGAGAAAACTTGCTCTTGCCGTATAGTAAAGGGTAAAGCGCCTTAGTTGCTGCCTTGACCCTCCCCTCTACATAGTCCACGTGTGGCTGCCAGGAAAATTTGTTGTAAGAACCCACGTAATCTTCAAGCCAACAAAGGGACGCGTTTCTTTGTAATTAAAAACTCTTTGCTCTTCATCGAATTTATTGAAACTTTCTAAATACGGCACCAGTCCGCCAGGGCGACAAGATAGCGCTGTAGATGGTTGCGTTGCAAAGCGGGAGGCTTACAAAGAGCAACGGTCATAATAGCGGCATAGAGGACGGTTCGTGTGTGTGGAATTAAGGGCAAGGGCACGTCGCTCATATCATTTTAAGTAAAAGGGACGGGAGAGGTGATTTCTGAGGGGCCCCTGCTATCAGAAATCGCAGCTGCAACTGTGTATCTTCCACGCGCACGCTGAAGGCGCGACCGTTTAGTTATGACTTTAGCAAGTTTAAAGGCCATGAGGAACGGATAGCGAGCGCAGCTTGTGCAGCAGAACTTTCAGGTCAAACTTGAGCAATTGCCTTCCTAACGACGAAATAAGACAGCACCCGTTGACTTCTTAAAGTTAAAAGCGTTAGTGGTTCACACAGTTAAGCAAAGGAGCTGCTGGGTCGTTACGTGCCCTTGCCGAAATCCAAACTAACACTCCAGTGAGGAGTCCCGAGCGTCGACGACATCTTTAAGACGGCGTAATAAAACGGTCTCACCCACTTTGCCGACCGCTGACAGGAGTTTGATGGGTCAGTACTTGCTAGTTGCTGATTCCGGTTTTGGTGACTTCAGCACCATCACAACGGTCGCTATTCCAACCTACCGGAAAGACGCCAAGGACCATCGCAGATTTTATCAGGAGGTACAGATAATGCATCCCCATAATAGTTTTTCCTCCAGTGTTCCACTAGTGATGCCATCGGGACCAGGCACTTTTTTCTTAGTTAGCTTCGACAATCGCTTGAAACTCGTCAACATTAATTAGTTCAGGTGGCTCGTGAACATCGGGAAGGGGTAAGCTCAGCTAGGGGAGTGCCTCATTGACAGTTAAGTGAGCAGATGACACGCTTGAGGTAGCAAGGAGATTAGCGAAAAGCATAGCTTTGTTTCCATCACTCTCAGCCACTATATTTCCTTCACAAAGGGAAGGGGTGCAAGTCTCAGTGTCTGCTGCTGCCTGATTTTGATATATTATTCAGTTTGACCTCCTATTTATAATTAAAATAAGCCATTAGTTTCTTTCTTATGCATCTGTGCAGTTGGATAAGCGCAAGTTTGTCTTCGGCGCTCTGTTATTACATAACCGTTCGGGTAAAGCGTCGACGCTAGCAAATGTCTTCAGTTAGTCAAACAGGCGATCGGGGTTATACATAGTGAGTCACATTCAGTGCGCTTTCAAATGGCATCATCCAGCAGGGCGGACGATGATGGTAGTAACGGGCACGGCGGAAGCGTGGTTTTCAATAATTCAGCATATTTGTCTCAGTTGACAAACAGACGGTGATAGACTTTGGTGATTCCTTTTCATGGTCGGAGAACAACTCGTTGAGCACTTCAATTGCCGTTGTGATATGGATATCTTATAGTAGGGGCAATATCCAGTACGTCCATTGTGCCAGTAGGCGCCAAGTGTCTATTGGTTGCTGGGGGCCTAGTATGCACAGCTCATGGTCAGCAGGCCTCAAGGATGTAGCCACTAGAATTATCGCCTCAGCTGTTCCACAACGAGTGCTTGTAATTAAGATTCCGGCACAAAGCAACAGAAGTGTCACTAACAAAGATGGCGTCCATATCGGAGGGCGGTAATAGCTTCCAAGGGATTTGTAGACAGCGATCACAGACACGGCTCTCTGGTCGGCCATACATAGAAAAATTCACATTGCCTCGACACTTTGTAGAACTGGCAGAGATATCGAATTATGTTGAATGCTCCATTTTACCAAGAAAGCAATGCCCTGCGTGCATCGATCCGGTCCTGGCTATACGTAACGATGTTGCTCAGGTTATATGCGACGTTAGGAAGGAGGTGCGTCTCGTTGATTGCGCACGCACCAATTCTTTCAGGTTGTAGCAGCTCCTGAATCTCGTGCTTCTTACTCTAAACACCATTCGCATTCCAAAATAGGGGTTAAATGTAGCAGCGCGTCTTCGGTCTATAAACCGTTGCAAACAAATTCCTATTTTTTTTTCACTTTCAAAATGCTGGATAATTTGTCGTTAGAATCGCTAACAGCTGCCATAGGCCAAATGTGGTTATTACCGTCCCTGATCAGCTTTCGAAATGGGGGCATGACAATAGCTTTGAAAACTAACGAAATAGGTCGGCGAGTCTTAGTGAGGTTTGTCTTCAAACGGGGCGCGTAAGAGATCCTCGGGGTAACGATATATTGTCTGTAGTGGGCACCGACATAGTAGACTTTTTGGGTGGATGGCTGCCTTCCGTGGGTAGTATAAGCAGCCTTGATAATTAGCAGTGTGCGATCCACCGCAATTAGCACAACTAGCAGACCATCTCGTGCTTTCGCGCATAAGGTTGCTGTCAAGTGGCGCTCACCACACATAACGCTTCGAGGGGCTGTGATGCAAAAGCTTGCGGTGTGCCCAAATATCCCACAACGAAGGCATTAGCCAAAGAGTTTACTCTTCCGAAGCTTCTCCACACAAATTTAAAGACGAGAGATAGTCTTCAACTCCAGGACCTTTTGTCTCTCACTTCTGGGTATGTATCAAAATTGGTGGCAACGAACGCTTCTTACGTTTGCTAAGGTTCCTCAGTATGCATTTGCACCACTTAAAGGGGTGTGACTCGAAAAAAATCTACCTAAACAGTTGAAAGGGCGTGCCCACAGTAATCCCACGAAAAAAAGATTTTAACTTTCCCTCAGATAGTTGATAGGAAAAGTATTGAAAAACTCCTGAGTTCGCATGAAAGCTGTTATAGAGCTGTAATCAATAGGTGTGGTAGGAAATATCTTTATTTTAAGGTCGGGTAACCCTTGATCATAGGATCTGCACGCTCTTAATCTTCAAAAGTTGACTGAGGTCACT